AGGCCATTCTTAAATTGAAGTAGATTACAGGGTGTATCATTTAGTAATTTTTTTATGCTCCAGGCAAAAACGTATCACTCTGTTTAACTAAAGATATTTTTAATGCATGCCTTTTTTAAATCCATCTAATTTTTTATTTGAAAATTGTTTGCGTGCCTTTAACACAATTTAAAATAACGAGCAATTACGCAATAGTGGACATCTTGTATACGAATAGATATATTCGTTCTTTATATATTTTAAATTAACGATAGGTACATGTAAAGGTATTGTTGTAGTTAGAATATTTATTACATAAATAGGTTGGTACCTACTTAGATTATTACGAAACATAGATTATCAAATTGTAAGGAATCTGGTTCAAGTAAAATCGCGATATTTGGATATAGTACAGGTAATAATAATCATTAAATAACCCTTCATATAGCAATAAATTTAATTTTTTCACTAGCCGAAGGAACCTGAGGACTCTGAATGGATTTATATTACAATAATAATGGTTTCTACCCTGGTTCTGCCAACTCGCGAAAATATGTTCCACCATTTACGAGCAGTGTCGGATTGGGACCTACCAGGGCCTACCGGTAAAGACGATTTTTTTTTCATGGGCCGATTTCTTGAAGAGCAAAAAAAGTTCCTCTTAGCACACTGATGCTTTTTCCGAAGGTTTCTTCGCATCTGTTGTTCTCAAGGGCTCACTGCTTGAACGAAGGCCTACCGGTCTTTGGACCGGTAGACAGACGGGCCAATCCGACACTGTCTACGATTATTTTAGTACCCAAAATATTTAAAAAGGTGAATGCCAATCGTATGATATTTTAAATTTGATTTATGTAGAACAGAAGAACTGAAAATAAGAAATAATGTGGAAAACGATCTAAAACTAACCGGTGTGAACCTAGCAGCCAATTTCTAGCTGCAAAAATGCCAAACATTGCTGAACGAGCAGTAGCGTCGTTCAGATAGAGTCAGATAATTATTGGCATAAAAACAAATAAATACTGACCAAAATTTTCTTAATTAACGTTTCTTTGTTTCTTTCAAATATCACATTAATATTAACTATATTTTAAAAGACAGAATACCATAATTATTTTATTAAAGAAGGAAATAAAGTGTCACTTTAAAATGTATTTTAAGAAACCTATATTAGTGTTACATACTCACAATAAAAATATGAATTACTATCGCTGCTTCTAACAGGGGTAAAATGCCCTTAGGATAATAAAACAATAATTTTATCAAAGAGAAAAATAAATTGTCATTTAAAAATGTATTTAAAAAATTTTCTATCGACGTTTTAAACTGACAATAACAATATGAATTACTACCGCCCCCTCTAACAGGGGTACAATGCTCTTAGGATAATAAAATAATTATTTTACCACAAAAAGAAATAAATTGGCTGCTAGGTTCACACCGGTCTAAAACTATAGATAAGTGAAACAAGATCTCAGAAGAAAATTCCGCAGTGTCTATTTTATAAATCAAAAAATAAATAATATTGACGTGATTTTTTTCAAGTTTAGTGACATTATTACAAACCTCGATTATCAGGGTCTGTTTAAAAATTTTCCGTGGAAATTAAAGTTAAAATAATACTCAGCAGAAATACATATGTTTATAATAATTTAATAAAAGTGTTGTTGCTATTTAAGTTTAAAATTATTTTGGATAGTGATATTTATATTTTATAACAAGGTCACTTTTTAAAACCAGTAGGCAGGTAAAATACCTTATATAATTAAAAGCCAATTATTTTTAATGGGCGTTTTTAAAAAAAAACTTTCTTAATTATGGATTAACCTATTAAATAACTTTTTAATCGATTGAGTACGGCATTCCTAAAGAAATGGAAATAGATACCAATTAATATTATAACTGTGTAAATGATATGGATTATTCAAGCATGCATTACTGGTATTATCATAAGAAATAGTTTTTTTTATGTTGTTTCCTACAGGTAGAAACTTATTTGATTCTTTATGGTGTCATCCTTGTCAACATTTTTAATACATTCTACAAACCATAAAAAAGTTGTTTTTAATAGATTTGCTATTAAATATGTAGGCAATTGCAAATATTTCTTGCAAAATATTCTCAAAAAGTTTTCGGCATCTACAAAAAATTCCCGTTATTTTAAAATGAAAAAAACGTGTTACCAAATTTTCAATACATCCGATTTTAAATAAAACAAACAATGAGAGCAAAAGTACAAACAGAAAGACAACGGTCGGAGGAATTAAAGATTAAAAAAAAAAAAGATAAAACACGGAGACAGTTTAAGCCCATTACTTTTTATCATTACTATGGACAGGATTATGAAACGAATAAATTATAAAGGGGCGAAATTAAATACAGTGATTGAACACAACTGCATGCTGTAAGATTGAGTAGTCTTCTATAATGCAGATGTAATTTTGATCGCAAATAATAATAAAAAAAAAACTAAATACAATAATGAATGAATATATCAGAGGAACACAGGACATGAAAATGGAGGTGAACATAAACCAAAACTGATTATAGTAAATAAAAGACAAATAGATAATCAAAATAACCATTAAAAACAAAACTGCACTTCGTAGAAGAAGATGTAAAAGTGGATATTTTGTTACGTGTTCAAGAGAATCTACATCAAGTACACATTAAATTGCGCGTTAAAATAACGTCAGTCATACAACCGTTTTAAGGTGTGTCCCATAAAGAAAAACTTCATTTATACAAAATAAGTTTAACTCAGTATCTAACAGAATATGATCCGGATTGTAGAATGGAGTTTTGCGAAATGCTGATGAATAAGCTGGACACAAATGAGAAATATTTCCCAATAAATGGATTGGACGAAGAGCTACTATTAAGTGGCCAGCTAGATCACCAAATCTTACTGCATTAGATTTTTTCTGTAGAGTTATCTGAAGAATAAAGTATATGCAACACAGCCAACTAGCCTTGCAGATCTCAGAGAAAAGATAATAACAAAAATAAAGAATATTTTATCTCAAACTTTAAATAATGTTAGGCATAATTTTATAACATATTGGGTTATTGTCAAGAATTAGGTGGAGAACATTTTGATTAAATTAACTTTAATTAAATAAATCAATTATTTTATGTATTTATTTTTATTAAGCAAATGATAAATAATTTCAAAATTTCACTCTGTATTATTCATCTAGACAGTATTGCCAGAGCACTCTGAAGGAATGTAATAGATGAACTCTCAAAATTATAATAAATTTCAAGAAAATGTAATAGAAATTATAGTCAACCTAAAATGAACTATACATAAAAATAGATTCATTGCATTGATATTGATAATTAATGTTTATGTTTTTAATAACCTATTTATTGATAAGAACAACGACAGTCTTTCAATTATTGTCATAATGCAGCACGAAGATATTTTTGTTCCACATTCTTATAATTTTAGGTTTATTGCAACAGCAGACTTGTTTTGAATTTATCTGCGCATGAGTAGTACCTGTAGCTGTAGTACGAGTTAACTGTTCTACTCTTCGTACTACTCATACGCAGATAAATTCAGAACGGTTCTATACTGATGTTGAAACAAACCTTTTATTAGGAAAATGAAGGAAAAAGAAATTTGGACTCCAATCAAGGTCCAATGATATAAGAAACTTTTTAAGCGCTTTGGACATGCTCAAGAAAATATGTTTGAGATGAACCTAATCAAATAAACATGTTTGGGATGGGATAAGTTGTATAAAATAATAAACAATATATTAGGAACATATAAAATCAAGACACGGTGGTTAGGTTCATGTTAGGTTCAAGTTCATCAATTGTTCAAGGCTCGTGAAAATGTAATAGATTTATTGGACATGTAATAATGTAATAAACCCTTCATAAATGTAATAGATTTGTTACAATTGTAACAAACTGGCAACACTGCAAATAGACAAATAGGCCATAAATATTATAGTTCGTTGAAGAGAGCTTATTAAGGAGCTTTCAAAAATATAAAATGATACAGCGTGTTCCATTGAAAAAAAAAAGAGTATCGACAGTGTTAGACTTACGTGAATCATCCTGTATATTTTTATTGTCGTTCGGAGAATGTACAATTTAGTTTAAAAGTTGACGTGTTTCCGCGTTTTTTAAAATGTTCTAAAATAGGACCAAAAAAATTTTTATTCCATAAGTGGTTTTCACACTGTTATATTTGTGTGTACACATTTGGTACTTTATTAACAACTGTTAGACATGCTGTTATTTATCAATTCTACACAAGAATAACCTATTTTAATGTATGTTTAATCTCAATAACAAAAAATATACTGACAGTTTGACAGAATTGTCACTTATTTAAAATTTTAAAAATAAAAGCTGTCGATTGTTTAAAATATGAACGGTGATTGGTGGATTTAATTTTTTTGCAGTGTTCTTACTACCTAGAATGGATATGAAATATATTCGTTCAGTTGAAGGCAATAGCATACTTTTTCGTTTCTTAATATGTGCGTAGATAAGCTAATATCCATGTCGGTGTAGAAAAAATAAATATCCATGTGAGTGTAGAAAAAATTACTTTTTTATTTTGGAAAAAATATGAATATTGAAAAACTACATACTATAGTTGTAGTTGTTTATTTATTTATAGACAGCAAATCAATTTTAATTCTTTTACCGTTAATATTAATAATACATGAATCAAAATAGAATTGCGAAATGACGCGAAAAATGGATTCTTATTCTTATACAGTAGGAGAAGAAAAAAATCACGAATGTTGGAGCATACAAGTTTTCTTATTTTTAAAGAAGCAAACTGGATTTAATATGTACTTAATCATGGCCTACTTTGGAAATATTTTTTGTGGCTCATTCTTTACAGGAAACTACTAAGTATAATATGTCGCAGCATTTAAAATTAAGTGGTTTTAATTTTCGATGAAAACATATTTACCTTCACATTTTTCAAATAAGGGAGAGGGAGAGTAAAACATTTCTAATAGTACCATAATTATATAAAATCTTACCTCAAATGCATCATTTAACGAATGCATTCTCATTCTTTCTCTCTCGTTACTTTCCAGTCTTCTTAAATTTCTCTCCCTCGCACTTATACAGGTTTTCCGTCGTCGTATCGTCGTCCCGCTTGAAGCACTCCCGCTCGACGCGCTACCTGTGACAAAAAATTAAATTGTTAATTTTACAAATTAATTAATAAACAGAGAAGCATTTCAAGGAACTATTTTTCATCGAACCTCTTTAGTATCATAACTACAAACTTTTAGTTTATCATTTTATCAATCTTATGATATCTTAAAATTGTGTTTGACGGATAAAATCTTTAGAGTAAAACAAGAAGAAAAGTACTTCATGATAAACAAAGGTAAAGCAGATGTATCTCTAATAAGTATCTTTACCTCCGTAGTAACACAAACGTACAATATGACAGCAGCTGCTTATGCCGACGACACAGCCATACTTGCCATCGTTTAAACCGTAGAAGATACTCTGTGTCGCTTTTAGAAGAGGAAGAGGAGGAAACTGCAGTGTACAAGCTGGTATATTGTTCCGAAGGTCTATCAAAACTGAGTCCTTTTAATATTAGAGGAGAAAACGTGCCGGCAAACACACTACTTTGTTCGAAGATAATTTTTATTCATATTGATATGAGCTGAAGATTCTGAATAATAGATCGAAATATCATTGGTGTCAAACTGCGAAAGTTCAAGCATCTATTGGGATTAGCTTGGTTGACCAAACGTTGGAGAATTGCATGATGACTGTTTGGATACAGTAATAGTAGGGTGATATAAGAGGAGAGAAAAACAAGTGGCCCGTTATGTAAAAAGAAAAACACAGCTACGTCATACCAATGATTTCAAATTTCAAACATATGTAAGCTATTTGTTCGGTGTCTGATAGAAGTGCCAACAGATTTAAGTACTAATGGACGATTTTTGCGTATAATGACAATACAATTTTTAATAGAATTAATTCGTTATGAAGTATTAGTTAAAAGTAACTACTTGCTGATTAAACTATAGGGTATTGTTTGTTAATATGTCAAGTAAACCTACATGTAACTTTACTCAGAGGTCAAGAGACTGGCCCTAAAAAGTATATACGTTAGTTTTAATAAAAGTATATGGATTTGTAAAACAATGAGAAAACATTAATTTTTATTATTATTATATATTTTTACCGCTTCAGCTAAAAAAAGTAAGTATAATCAATAAGTATAAATAATAAAACATAGGCAGGCAACAGTATTTACGAGAAAATGTATGAGAAGTTGCCTAAGTCTAATAAGTTGTCATTGAAGAATTAGTTAAATAATGTCAAAATAAAAAAAAACACCATTAAATAATAACGTTAAAATGTACTTAAAAAAGGATTGTTATTTATATTTTCTTTATTTTTAGCTCGAAAGAAGACAGAATGAATGATTAAAACTAGTTTCCTATTAATAACTTACGAAATTGCATTCCAGCCACATAAAATAATCAAAGGCAGAAATCTAGTCCTTGCTGAACATTTAAGATTAAGGGGATGTTAAAGAACATCGTAAAATGATAATTTATTTTTTATTTAAAATCTTTTTTGATGCCTATTATTTCCAGTATTACTGTTATTTTTACAAAATTAAAGGTACTTTTTCTTCTTATTTCTTTCTTATTTATTTCTTTGTTTTAATTTTAATTTTGCTACTAAAAATTTATATAATTTACACTGTTTTTTTGCTAGTATTTTTAAAATTTACAACACAGCAACTCCAGTTGCTTATTGTGTTATTTTTACTTACTTTTTTTGATAAAAAAGTAAAATGTATACGTGTATTTGAAACGCCAAAATTACCACAAGTGCTCGAATTGTCCACAGCTTGCGCTAGTATCGTTTATGCTTCCCCTACCATGACTTTGAACTGAGCGAGTAACTACCAATAAATAAACAATATGTGAATGGTTTGATTTAAAAATAGTATTCCTACATTCCTATAATAACACGCTACTAAATCCCCAGTAGGCGGCGATAGCCAACGAATTACAATTGATGACGTAGCTGGGTATTTCTCATTGTAAACGGGCCCTACCTAGCCATGATATATGGGTCAAAATATTGGGCATTGAAGAAAATATATGAGCAGAACATTGACGTTGCTTAGGTTAGTAAAGGACGATTTCTTCCTGAGGAAAGAGGTAAGTGACATAGACCAAGAAAAACATGTTAGAATAAGGGAAAGATCGAGATAATGATTGTTTACTTCAGAAGATCATTGCATGGTTCACATACTTAACTAATACTGAGAGCATACAAAAGCAGCGAAGGGAGATCAGAAAAATAGGAAGGGACTGTGACATTTAGTGAACTTTAGAAACGGCAGATTGTTGATGATTAATAAGTTCATTGTAATTTTATTAACAAATTGGATTTAATACATTTTTGATTTACCTCCATGTTTCCTCCTCTTTTTCCCTGTAGCTTCATCGCTACTCGATTCTGTAAGATCATCTCTTCCATCTTTTCGTATTTCCATATCTTCTACTTCCACATCTTCGTCTTCTTCATTCCACGACGCAGTCATTTCCAAAGATCGCATCGTTTTAAACACTCACTGAAACAATAAAAAAACAAATTAATTCACGAAAACAAGTTACCAAAATTTAACACGCGTTTTAATTTTTCTGAAGAAAATATCTTCTTAGACTTCTAGCGTTAGAAGAACCAAATCATTACAGCATTCTTTTTTGATCGAAAAATTAGTTAGCTTAAATCTTTTTGTTATTTAAAAACAATTAAGGATTTATTAAATTGTTGAATACTACATTTTAAAGTACCAAGTACACGGTGTATTATAAAAAGTGTAAAATTAAGGCAAGGAATGTTTTCTGGGCAAACGGGTTTGTGTCTTGTAAACTGTTTTAAATATTAACAAATATAGAACTAAAAAACGCAGTTTAAAACTATCAAAATATAGTCACAATTTTTTTAAATGGTACAAAATTTTCGAAGATATATGCACAAACATAATCTGTAAAAGTTGTATTTGTAAAAAAAATATTCATTCAAATTACAGAATCTGTAAAAAAGTTCTTACAGATAATACTGGAAAGGTTGTTTAGTTTGTAAATTGTGAAACAATGGTAGATGTGTATAAGTGTAAAAACATATTAGGTAAGGCCACGTAGAGGCGAGTGCGTAATTGCCTTACAACACGCATTGCGTACTATACTTTACCTACGACCTCTTCAAGAGGTAAATATGCGAGTAAATAGATGTCTGCGTTTAATTTACCGTGCGTTTTGTTTTCCGTGAGATTTATTTAGTTTGCATATAGTGCTATTTACTGCTCCTGTAAGTCGTGTGTTTTTATCTGTTTTCAATCGTGGTCGTTAGTAATAATATATTACACACCGAGGTGGCAAGAGTTTCATTCCTGTCGTGAGATTAGCTAGATCACCGAGACGCGAAGCGTCGAGGTTAGCTATGATCTCGAGACAGGAATAAAACTTCCTACCGAGGTTTGTATACTATTTTATTTACAACCATCATATTTCGATCAAAGTTAATAAAACTCTGTTTCGTTCTGAACATACCTAAAATATTACATTTAACGACAAATTACCAAGCGCGCGGTTTTCTCAGAATAATCAAGTAAATATATTGTTACTGTGATTACGGGGTAAACAACTGTAACCAATATAATTAAATGTAAGATAAAGTCGGATATTAAATCCGCGAATAATAAATATCAATAAGTAGTTTGTTGTATTTTAGTTCATTGTTGTTTTGTCATTAAATAGGTATTATAAAATTTGTCAAAAAAATGTGTCATTTTTTTTAAGTATAAAAAATATTCATCTGGAATAGATGAAATGAGGGCGGGAAGTGAGGGCGGGAAGTGAGGGCGGGAAGTGAGGGCGGGAAGTGAGGGCGGGAAGTGAGGGTGGGAAGTGAGGGCGGGAACTGAGGGCGGGAAGTGAAGCCGGGAAGTAGAGGTGTGTAATGTGACACTTCCCAACCTTCAATGACGTTAGTAATGACAACATTACATATACAGGGTGTATCAACGATGCGTGGGTGAACGATAGCTGCTTCCCTATATGAGATAGGAAAAAATGCTTTAAATAAAAGTTGTAGAGGGCATTGAAAGCTACGTTCCAAAAATAATTACCAATATACAGGGTGTCCGATAAATGTATGAGTTATCGAAGTAATGTTTTTTTAAAGGAAACACCCTATATATTTTTACTCGATTAAATTTCTTTGGAAGAGTGTTTCTCAAAAATATAGGGTTGTATGGGTTTATACGGGGTATTTAGGAATTTATGGTGGGATTTAGGTAACAGAATGGGTTTATTCAACATCAAATATCTCTAAATCAATAATTTGGAATAATTTTTTTTCTACCGAATATTCTCGAAAATGGTGTATTTTCATTTCCTATTCATAATTTTACCGAATGGCGCTTTTCCCATACAGGGGCAACCAAAACTCGGGACCACTTTTTTCTCAGTTTTTTCAAATGGAACACCCTGTAAATGAGGCCATACCAGGAAAGCCCATACCATGAGCTTCCAGAGAATGTAGGGTTTGCCTACTTGATTTTTATCGGAAATGTGTCGGAAATGTATCTAATTCTTAAGGAAAGTATAAAAAAGTTATAAAAGCCATAACTATTTATTTATTATAAACGAACAATTATTTAAAAAAGCGTATATTCACAGCAAATGTTTAAACAATCTCACATTTTAAGCTATGCCCGAATTAATCATATCTACAATTGCTCTTCGAACTTTCATTAAAGTTGATCTTGTAATACAGCCAAAAATCAAATCACCCTTGAAACATTTGAACGTTATAGGAATTTGACATTTAATTATCGAGGAGTAGAATAATTTATAGTTGAAATTTAATTTTTCGCTTCAAAATGAAATTATCCACCGAAGAAATGATAAATATGATCTACATTTTGGGTGAGTGTGATAGAAATTGTTTATTAGCCAGTAGAATGTATGCAGTTCGATACCCTGATTCAAGGTCTATACGACCAGAGACTTTTCGGATGGTTAAAGAAAGATTTGACGAAACAGGCAGTGTCAAGCACGAGAAAAGGCAAGTAGTAAACAAAATTGCAACAAATGAAGAAAATGAATTAGCGGTGATCCTTCCAACAGTAGAGAATCCTCATGTTAGTACGAGGGAAATTGCAAGAGAGCTGGATATAAGTCACACTTCCGTAAACAGAATATTGATAAAAAATAAACTTCATCCATACCGAATTGAATTACATCAAGAACTTTATGAAAGGGATTATGACACCAGAGTTCGCTATTGCGAAAATATATTGAATTTCATTCGCGAGGAACCAAATTTTCTAAAATACATTTTGTTTAGTGACGAGTCAACATTTAAAAGTAATGGAATAGTAAATAGACACAATTGCCACTACTACTCAACAGAGAATCCACATTGGGTCAGAGAAATTGATTACCAAAACAGATGGTCGATAAATGTTTGGGGGGGCATAATTGGGGATTAGGTCATAGGACCACATTTCTTTGATGGTCCACTGAATGGGGAAATTTACAGAGATTTTCTCCGAGATCATTTACCAATTTTGTTGGAGGATGTACCTATTGACACCAGACTCAGGTTATATTACCAACATGATGGCGCGCCTCCCCACAATCAAAATCAGGTAAGATGGTTTTTAAACAGATGGCGCAGTAATAAATGGATAGGAAGAAACGGGCCCATTCAGTGGCCAGCAAGGTCTCCAGACCTCACGCCTCTAGATTTCTATCTCTGGGGATATGTTAAAGGAGAGGTCTACCGTGAAAAACCAACGACACCAGAAGACATGAAGAATAGAATTAGAGAAGTTTTTCACTCTATTACAAAATCAACTTTAATTGAAGTTAGAAGAGCAAATGTGCATAGCTCAAAATGGGAGATTATTCGAACATTTGATGTGAATTTATGCTTTTTCGAATGAAATAAATAAATAGTTATTGCTTTTATAACTTTTTTATACTTTC